TAACTAACAGGGCGGAAGCAATTACTATTACTAGTTACGGAGTACTATAGGCAAGCATCTGGATGATAAGCTTGGCGTGAGATGCAGCGCAACGTAGCGGCACCCACCCGACCACGGAGTGTTTCGTGGTGGCACGACGGGCCAGACCAGACAGGCCGGGACTTGCCAGGGTCATGGCGTGTCCAGAATCCAGATTGAATGCCGTCGGGTCGCCGTACGGGCCGTCTTACGCTCCCTCCCCCCCCCCAGTTTTCCGCGGAGACGCCCGTGAACCCTGTGGCCAAGAGGGATCAATTGACGCGACTTGCATCTCGACGAAAGCATTGGCCACTGGCGAGCGGGGACCAATTAATTAATTATGTCAGGCTGGGGGAGCAGTGAGGGCCCGTAGACGGCAAGTGTCCCCGTCATGTCTGGTCAATTCAATGGCTGATTGGAAGCCCTCGTTGGGCAACTTACGAATTGACCAGACATTCAACATGCACAGTCGTCAACGCACTGGTGCAACCAAGCCCGGGTCACTGGAACAGAAACGCATGCAGGCTCGATCCCCCCTCGCGTGCGTGAATCGAGGCACCGGGGCCATGGCAAGCAGTCGATTTTGCGAATGCCGGTCGTTCGTGAGCGCGGCTCGTTGTGGTTGCCGGGGTGCCGGATCAGCAAAATTGTCTGTGCAGCATTCAGGCTCGCGTCTACGGTAGATTGTACATGCACCAGACGCGCCGTGCCGAGTGCGTGCCCATGAGGCGCCCCGGAGGACCTGGGGGCCAAAAAAGACGACGAAGAAGATGAAGAAAAACAAGAATATGACTGCATACCATGGCGCTGGTCGAAAGGCGTCGTGGGCGGCGAGATATTGTGCATGTTGGATCGGATCCATCTGCAGCTCGTGCATGCGCCGGTACATCTTGGACAAGAGTAGACGCGGCGACTTGGCGCAGAGAACCGCCCATTGAGTCAAGATGAAATTTTGGTTATAATTATAACTACATGTGTATCCTGCGTGCAGCAACACTGTTTCTCTATATGCAATAATCATCCTTTTAAACCGTCATGTGCTGAAAGTATTCCAAAATGGCCTGAATATTAATATAAATCTTCCTTGTTGGATACACAAGAAATAGTGTCATTTTCAAAAAGAAAAAAAAAGAAGAAAAAAGGCTCTTTTGTTAGAGTTGAAAGCATGGTTCATCGCTGTACTTTTCCCCGTCTAGCCGTAAAATCACACGCGTGCCAAGTCATGTACATACACAAAAGCCAATCGCCTAGACCTCGTCATCTCGGCGACCGCTCGGTCTGCTCTTGGATCCTTCATCGATTTGCACGCTGTATGTGACTGATTTCAAAATGGCGCCATTGTCGAGGATATTCTCCTCGCTGCCAGACTTGTTTGCCGATACAAATGCGCTCTTGTCGTGGCTTCTGTCGCTGAGCTTGTAGCGCTCCCCGTTTCGTAGTCCTCGGCTGCGACTCGGGCCGCTGTTGGAGCCACCAGAGTACTTGGATCTGTAGTCTCTGGCCTTCTTCATGCAGACTGGTGCCAGGAACGGGAGTGATGAAACCATGTTCTACAGAAACGTGGTTAGCACGGGACTGACAGGCTGGCACAAACGCTGCCGTAAGAAACACAAACTCACGCCGACATTGAATTCAATGGTTCCCCAGAGGACCAGCATGGTCGAGTTGCCGTCGCCGTTCTGGATTCGGTCAATCTGTACGTATCGCATGATGGAGCAGAGCGTGGTGAAGAGACCCAGCATGAAGATGCCAATGAGGCCCAGTTTCTTTTCCGGCCGCACATTGAGCTTCAGGAGCACGGGAATGGGCAATACAGCCACGACAATGTCCGACACAATCGTGACAACGGCGTAGCCGGTGAAGGAAGGGCCTGGCTGCAGACAGGAGCCCGCCACCCACGGCTTCCACGATTTCTCAACAGGAGTGCAGGCAAACACCAAGGATAGGGTGCATCCCAGGTGCGCTAGAAAGACAATGACGATGGTGGTCCAAACCACCATCCGGTAGACCTTGCGGTCCGTACCTTGAAGCAAGCGCAGGTAGCTGATGAGGAGAGCAATTTTGAAGAAGCTGATGCCGATCTGATAGATGGGGCGCCCGGCAAAGTTGACCTGTGAATAGGGACCGATGTTTGCCTTGGGTCGAAGTTTGAGAGGTAGCCCCAGGCCGTATTTGGTTTGGACAATGCAGAGAATTGAATAGATGAAGGCGAAAATCATGGACAAGCCCGACATGTAGTCATCTCCAGCAAGACCACGAGCCGTGCCTCTAATCCAGAGCCGACAAGAAACTGTGGCTATGGAAAGCACCGATAAGACAATGCACACCGCCAGAATGGTCGCCCATTGTGACTGGGCGTCAACCTCGGGAGTTGCATTGGCAACCCAACCCATGGTGAAGAGGCCTAGGGGCAGGCGGGAGAAGTGCTGAGGGAACGAAAATGACCTTTGCTGCTGTTGACGGTCCAAGGCCGATGCCTCAACTTGAATCCTTATGCCCAAGATCCCAAGATGGAGAAACGTTGTATGTTTTTGAACTTGTCCAACTTGATGGTAATATCCTCGATTATGGCAACGAGTCGACCGACCCGTTTTTGGTGGTGTGCTGACAATGTGACCGCAACTGACGCACGATCTGTAAAGGGAGTCTGGTAGTACTGGCAAAAGAAACGAAAAACTATCTCAACGACGTGAGCTGAACGATATGCGGGGACCAGGCTAGCCAAAAACCAGAACCAGACGATCCCAAATACTAGTCAAAAGGAGTAAAGTAATGCAATTTCTTTGCCAAAAACAAAAGAAAAGAAGAAGGGAAAAGCAATGTCGAGTCCGAAAAGTGCAAACCGGCTAAAGTACGCAAGGGAAAATTGCCGATCTCGTAGTCGTAGGAGGAGGTGGACTGCACTCCTGTTTTCTGCTCTTTTGACAGGATCAAGCCAGAGAGACTAATACCAGACGAACGTCGGTTCAAGAAAGAAGAAAAAACCCCTTTCGTCAGGGAGCATAGACTTGGGGTCCAGGCTGCTGGGAGAAGGGAGTTCGCGCAGTGGCAACCAGTTGAGCGGGTTTCCATCTTGACGGAACATTGAAGCACCTTGTCATTAAGGCCACACGTAGTATCGATTCCATATTGTCCTGTCCAAAGAAAAACGCGCGAGCGGCCAGGGCTCTGATCCTACTAGACTAGCTAGGCCTTGCTGGGGAAGAGGACCCGATGACAGGGCCCGACTTTGAATATCAACTCCATGTCCGTATCCTGCCATGCAAATGGAGACTCGCCTTGCAACATGTGGCTTTCTGTGCGTCGCCAGGGCCCACACCGTCGCGGAACAGCCATCGATGCCAGCGAGTTGCTATTGATTGGCTGAGTGGCGCAAATGCTGGGCTGAGCTTGATGCCATCGCAGGGACCGGCGAGGCAAGGGCCCGGGACGCATCAGCAAAAAGGCCCGCAGCTAATGCATACATGACCGGTGACAAAGAGTCGCAAAGATGAGTTGATGCACCAGACTCCTCCCTGTGGCAAAGCGGGTGGCATTGGCCCTTGCCGCTTGGGGACGAAGTGGTGGCTCGCTTCGCCGTCTTTGCATCAGGGGTTGCGCAGACTGAGTTGAACCCAGCCGACCAGGCAGCAGCAAGAAAACCAGACCCTACAGCTGCAGGGCTCCCAAGGCTGCTTGATCGACTTGGCCGAGTTCAATGTTCTGTCGAGACAAGTTTGGTCCTGTCCCTCGATGCAGCAGTGGAGGATGATGCGCAAAGTGTCCAATAACCTCGATATTTCTATCCGTCTCTTCGATGTCGTCTCCCATGTCCCGCAAAAACAAGTCAAGTATTTGGCCCTGATTGGCTGGGACATGCTCAATTTCTTCCACTTATCCGCAAGCCTTCAATGTTCACAATCGCCGAGTCCCCACAAACCATTCATGCCTGGTGCTGCAAGTACCAATGTACTCTAGGTACATTCAAGGCACAACCCGTGTACCTTTGAAACCAGTCGTTTCAAAATGAAAAGTCTTCCAGAAGACACCAAGAATGTCCGATTCGGAACCAAGCAGGAAGCTTCCCCGCCCCACGGCATATGTTGGCCAACTAGGACAGCGAATTGCATCATGAGATAAAAAATATGCTAGGCAGCTAATGATAAATAGGCCAGTTCCAGAGACAGACACCAGTTTCTCTTTCCTATCAGCCGTTGGGGCAGTTGCTGGGACACCATAAGTCGATAGGAGTCCTACATGGAAATCTCTCACGCGCATCACTTCCTAAAGCTAGTACTTCCTAGGAGGAATAGCAACTTCGTCAGCTGCTAACATTGGCACATGAGGGACATGAAAAATCCGACTACTTGCCTGAACAGCGCAGTACGGACGACACTATCGGACAATGACTTCAAATGAGGCAGCTTGCCTAATCCGGAATCACGTCAGATACTCTTCAAGAGTACTATACGTATACCTAGGCATGTATATATAAGTGTATTGCTTTTAATACAGAGAATTCTAGTCTGGTACAGAAGACTGCTGTTGCCCTCAACAAGGTCCAAGGGTTAATATACAGAATCATAACGCACATTATGCACTGCCATGTTGACATACTTTTCGACTCTAGTTTGGTGAACCAGGAGCGATGGGCAAAACACTTGGAGGAATTTTCTAGATGCATTTGGAACCATGGCAGATGAAGGTCGCGAACCGTGTCTCACATCACTCTAGCATAGTAGGTCAAGCAAAAGAAAAGAAAACATCTACACCGCGGCAAGCCAAGCATTAAGCCATGCATGTTTAATGCCTGGCCACTTTTGCATGGAAACATCTGGTACGAAGCACAGTCGCTGCCCTTTCAGGTCTCATTATCATGGCAAAGAAAAGCGGCATACACAATTAGTCGCTAAAAATTTCATTCATTTTTTGGTCATGTCCTGAAACCCGCAACACCGTTGATGAATCCCTCAGCCCTCAATGCACAAATGGTATAAGACAGCTTAAATCTTGGTGGCAGCCTCCGCAGCCTTCTGCTTCTTGGTAATGCGCATCTGGGCCTTGGCGCCCATGATGCCACCACCCCACTGTCGGCGAGCCTGCTCGTGCTTCTCCATGAAGCCATCCTTGATGGAAGAGACGAGCTTGGAAAGCTCAGTCTTGTCCTCTGCTCGGACCTCGGTGAGGGCCAGAACGGCAGCGGTCTGAAATTGGATTCGTTAGCATGTGATATTTTGGGGAAAGCAAATTTCGTAGGAATTCTGACGAACCTTCTTGTGGACGACGGTGCCTAGACGGGCCTTGCCCTTGACAATGGCATAGGGGACGCCCATCTTCTTGCAGAGAGAAGGCAGGAAGACAACCAACTCAATGGGGTCAACATCGTTGGGGATGAGGACCAGGGAGGCCTTCTTGTTCTCAATGAGACCGACGACGTGGTTCAAGCCGTACTTGACGGTGTAAGGCTTCTTGCTAACGTCCTCCTTCTTCTTGCCCTCCTTGACGGCGGTAGCCTCCTTCAGGAGACGCTCCTTCTTCTCGACCTTGGTCTCAGGGCGGTACTTGTTGAGGAGCTTGAAGGCCTGCGCAGCAGTGTTGCGGTCGAGGACGTGCTGGAACTGGGACAGTGCAGGGGGAACCTTCAGGCGCATCTGGAGGATCTTCTTCTGGCGCTGAAGACGGACATACTCGGGCCACTTAACCATGCGGGAGAGGTTTCGCTTGGGCTGGATGTCCTGGCCGATGCCGTAGTTGCGGGGGCGCTTCTCGATGAGAGGGTTCTGCAAAATTTCCCGTCAGTTCAGATGCCCCCCCTGCTGAAACCTTGGAAGCGGAGGAATGTACGCACCTTGGGAGCCTTCTTCGAGCCAGCCTTTCCCTGAGGGAAAGGGGCCGGGGCCACCTTCTTTCCAGTCTTGGGGGGCTGTCATTGAGAAAAGAAGACATTAGCGAGTTGCTCAAGCTAAACGATCTTCTCTGAACTCTAACGAGATGATTGGGAAATCATGGCAATGTTTCAGCGCATGCCCGCATCTCCAGCCAAGTCTTCACCTCCAGGTCTCCCACACTCAAAACGTTACATCTTGTATGTGTTCGACGAGTCGGCGGAATTTCCAGCAGCGTCGCAAAAAGAGGGATTGTCGACGCCGAGGATCAAATAGCGCTTTCACGTATTTGACTCACAAACTGTGGCCATGAGAGTCCTGTGTGAGTTAGAAACTTACCATCTTGTCTTGATCGGCGGTGCTCAGTCGTGAAGAGCAGAGGTGCTTGCAGCCGAGATGGATGGGTTGTCAGAAGATCAAAGAAGAAAAAGTTGTGCTGGATGGTGGGCGAAAAATTAGGGCTTCGCTGTGTGCCACACTAGCCAGCGGACTGCCCCACACCAAACAATGCCGATTTTGGGCCAGCATGTGGCTGGGCTGTGGCTGGAAGCGCAGTATCACGTGCTCATCGTGGTTGTGCAAGTTCTTTTCGTCGCTGCCCAATCATGTTCTTCGAGTCAGGCAAAATCGACATACAGAAAGAGCGTGACTGGCTGACATACTCCGTGTAAAGATTTCTTCATATCAGAGCCGCTCTGATCTTGCAATATATATTTTGAAGACCAGAGCCAGACTTCAAAGACGGCACCCAAGATTTCTGTCCTCTGGATACCCAGTTCGTACTACTTGTATTGAAGGCACACACTTCACTCACTTGTCGAGACAATGCCTCCGGCTGCTTGCCTCCGGTGTGGGAACCGGGCAGTCATAAAAAGACCAAAGAACCACCACAAATTATGCAAGGAATGCTTCCTTTCGGTGTTCGAAGATGAAGTCCATCACACCATAACCTCATCTAAGCTTTTTTTCCCCGGCGAAAAGGTTGCAATCGGCGCATCGGGTGGCAAAGACTCAACCGTCTTGGCATCAGTCTTGAAAACATTAAATGAGAGGCACAATTACGGCCTTGATTTGGTGCTATTGAGTATTGACGAAGGTATCAAAGGCTACCGGGATGATTCACTCGAGACAGTGAAGCGGAATGCCGTCCAATACGATATGCCACTAAAAATCGTGGGCTACGATGAACTTTTCGGATGGACCATGGATCAAGTAGTCGAGACTATAGGGAAGAAGGGAAATTGCACGTATTGTGGTGTTTTTCGTCGACAGGCTCTCGACCGCGGAGCCAACTTGTTGAACATCAAGCATGTCGTTACAGGACACAACGCCGACGACATCGCCGAGACCGTCCTTATGAACTTGTTACGAGGCGACTTACCTCGCTTATCACGGAGCACGAGTATTGTTACTGGCAGTGCTTCCACTGGTATTCAAAGAAGCAAACCGCTGAAATACGCATACGAGAAGGAAATTGTGCTCTATGCGCACCACAAAAGATTGGATTACTTCAGCACGGAATGCATCTACAGCCCGGAGGCATTTCGCGGGACCGCCCGTACACTTATCAAAAGCTTGGAGAAGGTACGACCAAGTGCAATATTAGATATTGTGAGAAGCGGAGAAGACATGGCACGGCTCACTCCAGATAAGAGCCAAGATGCGTGCGCATGTGACGAAGGTGAAGGAATGGGGGGTTGCGGATCAGCAAATGGGCGGACTTCCGGGGGTGAACTTGCAGAAATGGAGGCTGCGTTAAAGCCAAAGCACAAAACGACGGAGCTTGAGACTGAGATTAGTCCCAATGGAACACCAACTGACGATGGATCTGTCAAGCTCCCCCTTCGTGGTCGAAGACAGCAAAAGGGACAGAGGCAACGGCCAACTGGACCACTGCAAACTCTCGGGGCGTGCATCAAATGCGGATACATGTCCAGCCAACAGGTATGCCATGCCTGCACGCTTTTGGAGACTTTGAACAAGAACCGGCCAGAAGTCTCAATATAAAAAATTGGCCAAAAGATCAAAATAAAAAAAACTGTATTCAGCACCCAGCACCCAACGGGTCACCGTGAAATGATTTCCTGACTTGAAATTTTTGTGCTTTGCTTTTCTTCAACGCCAGGATTGCCCATTTGTCAGGCCATATATATACACTGTTGATTGATGTTTGCCCTCGATTATTCCATCGTCTAGATTTGAAATGGTCCCTAGGTGAAGCGCTTTTCCAGCTGTACCACATTTCAGCATTTTTCTCCGTTTATATATTAGTATTGAGATTGTCATACCTTCCAACCATGCGAGAATTCGAACCCCGGTGGTGCTTCTGGCTTGTCTGTCTGCCCTCGCAACGTGCCGGTAAGTCTGCGATCGCGGTCCATCACTTGGAAGAATGTGTTAGCATCTATTTGAATGCCAGTAAAGACCAATTATTTCGTAAAAAAAAGCTAACTTTGCTGCAAATAAAATTAGCCAAATTTTCAAACACCATAATTGGGACATTTCACATACTCTATCCCACTGGTCCAGAGAGTATCGTGGCCGCTTGCCTTCGTTACGCCACGTCTTGACGACGGCAAGGCCGGTCCCTGTAACACCAAACATCTGCGGCTTCTCGTCAGAAATCGTTCATCTAAGGTACCAGGTGACTGGAATATTCACATACGCCAATCATGATGGCATAGGGCAGTAGAGTCTCGAACGGAACAGGCATTTTGGACGTCGGGCCGCTGCAGCGGGCTTTTCGATCCTTGCTATATATTCCAATGTGTTGTGACGTTCGGTTGATGGACCGGTGCGCCCGGTAATCGTTCAATTGGGGCGTTGTGATGTCTTTACTCTCGGTCGATGACGAGGTCTTGAATTGCAGTTCGTGACATTGGCTGGACAGCTGATCTTCGACTCCAGAGTTGATGCCTCAGGCGCCCCACGAGCAGCAACTGATACCCCTGCCACAGGACAGTAAGATTCGTTGGCCAAATACACTGTGACAGCACACCTATTCGAGTGGGCTGTCTCGCGTTATCCAGATCGTCGCGCACTGTATCTAGACGCATTTCGCGACTCCGTGGTAACATGCGGTAGAACACGCGCCTGGGGCTCATCGTGAAGCTTTGCGACAATCATCTGCGAATAGCCAAGCTCTGGCGAGTCTCCTACAGATGCAAGGTTCGTTTTTTTGATGGTATTTTGCAACACAGATCTGACATCATCGCAGGGCCAGCGGTCCAAGCCTGTACCTGATTACCTTGTCAAACCTACCATGGTTGCTCTCCCCAAACACCTCCAACTATCTCTCGTCGCAAACCTTGTTTTGAAGCGAAATGCTCGAATTTGAGAAAAGCATATGCATTCTCTGTTTAATGAAGCAAGGGTCATGATGCCAAGTGCGCAAGCCATGGAAGAAGAGCTCCAACAGAGCGTCATGCTCTCCGAAGACGGCGAGTACGATACCGCTGATACGGGCGACCAGGCACCGTCGTCATTAACCCATGCAGGCTTGCAAAAAAATGGAGATGTCGACGTTTCTGGCAGCGAGGATGAAGAATTGAGCGATCAAGATGCTTCTGGGGAGGAGCTGGACCAAGATGCCTCTGGCGAGGAAGACAACGACCGGATGGACCAACAAATCGTCGTGGGCAGCGCCACACCGGGTCACGGAGAAGAATATGACGAAGATGCAGAAGGAGAGGATGACTTGGACGAAGAAGTTGGTGCGGTGAAGATGAAGCCTGTTGATTCTGAAGACGAAGATATGGGAAGCGATGGCTCCGACGCACAGAGTGCGGCAGAGGAAGAAGAGTCCGACGACGAAGAGGATGAAGAAGATGAGGAAGGGGCATGGGAAGAAGGTGATGCCGGGGACGAAGACGAGGAGTCCGACGCTGTGCAATCGAATACTTGCATGTTTTGCAAACAAGACGAAGAAAATGATCCAAGTGAGGATTTTGAAGCCTTCCTTGCTTGCACCCGTTGTGGTGAAAATGGTAAGGAGCTTCCATCCCTGATGCAAAAACGTAACGGGAGTGTTTTAACTAACAGTTTCGTAGCACATCAGCAATGTGCCCGTGATGCTGCAGCAATGACTGAAAAAAACAGTGGGTTCCTCATTAGAGATAGTGGCCTTGATTGGATGCTGACTTTGAGGTAGATTCGAAAAGATGGAAATGCCCAGAATGCTTCAATGAAGAGGAATCTGAGAGCGAGGATGATAATGACGATGCGGATGACGTCGATGCGATCAGCGCCGAAGATGGAGAAGCACCCCCTGGCTCTGAACGATCGCATGTATCAAAGACTGGGGTTGATTCAAGCCCCGTAGCGCTGGCGAACGGTAGTTCGGGTGATCGCTCTGGCACTGACGAGCTTGTCCTCGAGGACTATCCTATAGATGGCCCTAGGCCTATGCGGAAGCGCAAGTCAGCATCTGCAGAGGCAGACGATGCCACGTTGGCGATTAGAAAGCGTCGAAGGAATCAGTCAATTGACGGCACAGATCGAGACGACTCTGCGCAGGATAGTCGTTCCGGTGACGCGGCAAGGGCTGCATCATCAAGAATCACGCGCCTCAAAGTCACACGACCGCCGCCGGTGACTATCGAGAAACGATCGCGTACCTCTCTAGTTATCAAAATCGAGGTTCGCCCAGGCAATCTCAAAGAAATTCTATCGAGGCGGAAACGGGATCGACGACGGGTAGGGGGAAGTAGCGCTCGGCCACCACAGGCACCACGATCTACGCCAGCTCGCCCTCCTCCTACTCCAGCTTCTACTGGAAATCTACCGGCCCTCATCTCCACCATGCCAACCCCATTTACATCGGAATCGTACTCCCAACCATTCTATTCCTTCTTTGATAAAGAGACGGAGGAGATGAAGGGAAGGCCTTATGGTGGCATATTAACAGAAGCCGAGGCAGACACATCAAAGACCCTTCCGTCCCCTGAGGATCGCAAGAAGTTCGAGCACGCCAAACAGAAAGCCGAAGACGAATGGAGAGCGCGGGTACTGGCAATGCAGGCAGAAGCTGACTTACCTATCCGCAAGCCTAAGAAGGCAAGCGATAATGCCAGTCAGATTGAATGCATTGAGTTTGGTGGGTGGGAAATTGATACCTGGTATGCTGCGCCGTACCCAGCAGAATATAGCAGGAATCGCGTCTTGTACATTTGCGAATTTTGCCTCAAGTACATGAACTCGGACTATGTGGCCTGGCGTCACAAATTAAAGTGCGGCACAAAACACCCCCCGGGAGACGAAATTTACCGGCACGAATCCGTCTCCATATTTGAAGTTGATGGTCGGAAACATCCCGTCTATTGCCAAAACCTTTGCCTTCTCGCGAAGTTGTTTCTCGGCTCCAAGACGTTGTATTATGATGTAGAACCATTTTTGTTCTATGTTCTGTGCGAGTTCGACGACACTGGCTATCACTTTGTGGGCTACTTCTCAAAGGAGAAGCGGGCTAGCAGCCAAAATAACGTGTCCTGTATTCTAACGCTGCCCATTCATCAGAGGAAGGGCTATGGGAATCTACTCATCGACTTCTCCTATCTTCTCACCAAGGCCGAAGAAAAGACTGGCTCTCCTGAGAAGCCACTGTCAGATATGGGCCTAGTCTCATACCGCAATTACTGGCGCTTGGAACTCTGTCGATACTTCCTCGGCTACATGGAAAGCGATACACGTAGACGCGAGGGACTGAGTATCAAGAAGATATCCACCAATACCGGAATGACACCCGACGACGTTGTCTCTGCTCTAGAAGGATTGCGAGCCCTGGTGCGAGATCCCCAAACACACCTCTATGCTTTCCGGGTGGACTTGGATTACTGTCGTAATTATGTTAGCAAGTGGCAGTCGAAAGGCTACGTACAGTTGAAGCCAACAGCTCTTGCCTGGACGCCATATGTTATGGGCCGAAGCAACGTAGTCAATTTCGAGCTTGGCCCGCCAATCAACACCATTGCCCCTAGAGAGGACGATGAGGCCAAAATTCAAGAGGGGGCTACTCTGACAGCGGCTCATGCGCGCGGCATGCAAAGCACTTTGAATGGCGTTGACAAGTCCGATTCGCAACCAGAGCCCACTCTTGCTAGCCAGCAAGGCAGCGAACAGCCTGCCTTGCCAGTCAAGTCTATCGAGAAGGTCAAGACTGAAGACAAGGAAAATGCGGATCCGGAAGATCAGGGCATGGTGGATGCAACGACCAAAGTCGAACCAGAGTCCTGGGATGCGCCATACAGGGACATTCCTGCGTCCCGGTTCGAGGTCTTCCCACCGGTACCAGGGGGTCGTCGTGATCGGATCCGGCCCAGTGTGAGCCGGCCATCGGCTCCTCGCAATGGCAGCAGCTCATCCGCCAGGCCCAGGCCCAGGTCTAGGCCAAGTGGCAGTGCACGTCGACCTGCCGCAAGTCGGCCGCGCAACAACAGCTCGAGAAGGAAGTCTGGAGGGACGGGACGTGGTCCCGGCCGGTGGCCCAAAGGAACCAAAAAGTCTGACTATGGTAATGCGGACAGTGGCCCAGGCCTCCCACCCGGCTGGAAAGAAAAACAGGCCCGGCTCAAGGCCTTGGCCGAGGGCAGGGACCCTGGACCGGCAGAGAATCCGGATGAAAAGCCGGCCCAAGACGAAGTCCGAGTACTTGTTTCCACGGCAGGGACCAACCAAAGCAAGGCGGCCAATGGCAGTTCCAAGGTTTCAAGACGCGATTCGGATTCTCGGTCTGAAGTTGGGAAAGCGGCATCAGATGGCGAAGACGTCGATGCAGAGGGGGAAGATGAATGATTGATGATATCTCGGACCATGTCGCGGTAAGGCGGTGACCATATTTATCCTGTTTTAATAGTATCAAGTGCGTATGGGCGAATTTGGGGAATGGGCGGAGCAAAGGATGCAGCCCTGTTTTGTAGGGTGTAGGTTTAGGATCTTGGATGATTGACTTCACAAGAGCGATGTATAACACGAAGACTAGAAAGGTTCAAACCAAGCAGGAGGCCCCTCGCAAGTGTCAGCCCGTGATGCACGGATACTTGATATGCATTCATTGACGCAGACACTGCGGTGACGATCACGACGTGACTACAACCATGTTGAGTCCCTGGCGTAAGGACCAGTCCAGCCCAGCCGACATCAGTTTCAACATCAGATGATCTCGACCAGTTGTTCACAATCTTAACTCCAGCGTGACCAAGTTCGGCCGTCGTTGCCTGCGCCGTCTCACCCGCAACGAGCTCTGCATCCAGCTACAGAAATGAGTCGGACCTCATCCTCCAGCACCAAGGCGAAGGCGGTCCCTGCCACGCGGGCCGAGACTCAGAATCACCAACGCCCTCCTTTCTACGCCCCGCGATTCCTCTCCTCCCAGAATCCCTTCCCGTAGCTGACCAGTATCTCCTCCCCCTTCCGTATGCCCACGTCCTTCTTCCCCTTGCCCTTGCCCCTGCCGCCGCCGCCGCCGTCCTTCCCGCAGACCCAAACGCCTACGCAAACCTGCCCCCATCTCTCGCACCAGCCCGTCCCGAAAACAGCATTCGCCCTGGCCCTCACGCCCCTGTAGTCGTTCACGAACCGGCCCTCGTTCCCTTCCGCCGCAGCATCCACCGCAACGTCGGCCTCCTTGTCCAGCCACAGGTCATAGTCGCTCTCCTCCGACGACTCGGCCCCGCCGTGCACTCTGCCCAGGTACGCGAGTATAAATGCCCCCGGCTTGAGGTCCTGGGCCGCAAACAGGCCGAGCTGGCCGTTGGCCGGGTGTGACGCATCACGAATCGACTGTATCTTGACGTTGGGGGAGGGCGTGAGGGTTGACGAAGCGGGGATCGAGGGCACAGAGGCCGGCTTCGCGCACAGCGCCTGGACTTGGTTTGGTGTCAGGTCTTTGGCGTGGAGCGGGCACTTGAGGTAGGGGAGGTGGCCGGGCCAGTTTTTGGGCTTCGACATGATCAAGGTGAGGCGTGAATTTGCATGTACAACGTGGCATCACCCCCAAGACGTGAGGCTCTGGCGAGGGTGGATATCAATCAGGCCATGCTTGGTCTACGCCCAACATTCTGCCTCGCTCCGAGTCACTGCCTAACATGTCCATAACAAAAACACAGGCACTTGAAATAGAACCTCATGGCAAGGCATTAATGAATTCTATCTAAAACGCTACTATTCTACAGACCTTCGCATACACGTTCTGCCCCTTGATAGCCGCTTATCCCTCCCTATGCAAAAGCCTTCACAGTTGGCTTCCCGACTTTTTCCCATTCCGCCAAATTAACGTCCTCTCCAAGTCAATTTACACTTGATATCCCCAGCTTTCCCACGATGCTTTAATTCTCTCTTAATGGGACATTACCTCCCGGTATCGATCCATACCAAGATCCACCGAATACGCCAGCAGCCGATCTTGCGTCAACGGCAGGTTCAAGATCCTCGATCGCAGTTCAACATCCTAGTTATCAAGTCAGAAACGCAAATCTTTTACGGGAATGCCCGTGTTATTCCCCGTGACATACCTGTTTCTTCTTGGCCAACTTCAGTATTTCCCGTGCTGTATCGTCTGCCATGTCAGACACTGCAGCATATCGCAAGACTTCCGTCTCTCCCACATGCTCGTTCATCACATTCAATCCTGCCAACAACTTTTCAAGCAATGTATGAGGGGGGCTCTCGCCCTTGCCATGATGCTGCACGAGACTCAAGAAATAGCCATATATCTCGCCACCCTGAGTCCACTCCGGGATGGACTCAGCTTGGCCTTGGAATTGTGACAGCAAGGACGAGAGTGTAGCGTAGTCTCGTTCAATAACAGCTTGGGGAGCAACTTGTTGTACCAGGACCCGGTGGGCTTCAACAAACTCCCCAGCACGAAGGAGGCAATGCACCTCGGCTGAAGCATCCTTCTTGACACTGCGCATGTACAAAGCGAGCGCTTCCCATAGCCAGGATGCGGGAATTCGAAACTTTTCCGTCAGCAGTGTAAAGGTCGCGCCAGTGTCGGGGCCAATCATGCCAGCGTGTCGACATAAATGTTCCTGAATCGCCTTCATACGGACACTGGAGTTGTTGAGGTGCAACAAGACAAAGACTGCCTCCAACCACTCACCCGCCGCCGTCAGCTGAGAGGCATATGCAATTGTGGAAGCATCCGCCTTTTCTTCTCCGTTCTTGCCAAACGACACCTGGCCCGTGGAAACTAACGCCTGTCCAAGTTGCCAGGATAGTCTCATGTTGAGCGGAGAAAGTTGCGAGTTTTCTGGCCGCAAAATGGCCTCGAGGTCGACGTTCTTATCGGCATACAATTGAAGGAGGCCCCATAATAGGTCCTGCCTGGTCCCTTCTTCCGTATCATTCCATACTGGTTTCAGTCCTTGTTCATGGTACCATGGCCGTGGAAGCTCTTCCTTGTCTTGGTTGATGTCGTCCTTGAACTTTAAAACTGCCAGCGCAGGACTATCCTGCTGGGAAATGGCGTACCACAGGCGAAGGCCAAACGCCTGTCTCCAGTCCAAGCCAAACTTCTTTGAAATAACAAACGATTCCATTCGATCCTCAACAGGAACATTTTTCACCCCTTCACAGACACACACGTTGCCGCTTAGTAGCTCGTAGACAGTGCGAATTGCCTCTGAAAACTCCGAGAGCATCTTGGAGTCATGCCAAGCCTTGAGCTGTTCACGGATGTCCTTCTTCGCCACGACGCTCGTGCCGATCAGAGGAACTAGAGTTGCCAAGCGGAAATTCTTACCATCGAGCAGGAATTTGCACGCCTCGGTGATACGGTGACCAGCCAGACTTGCTACGGCCTTCTCTTCGCTAGAACCAGCAAGACCAACATTAGTAGTCGACGCTTGTTCCACGAGCTCAGTCCAAAATTGTGACAACTTCTGTTTTCTTGACACGTGGTCGGACCCGGGCTCGCCAGGGTTTGCGGCACCGTCAAATAAAATGCTTGCCAGCTCCCAGACACGCTTCTCGTTGACGTGGCCCGGGTCAGTCATCTCCTGGTGGTGAAAGACGTCTTGCAGACTGCCCGCACGTAGCGTAGCCATTGGAATATCGCCGACTAATCTGATTTCTGTTACTTTGTCCTGAGCCCGAAGAAATTTCTTGGATGACTATCCAGATCAGTATCTAGGTGTATTTTTGGGATGGGTCGGCCAGAAGAGCATACCTCCGCGGAAAGCTTGGCAAGGCGAATGTCTTGCCTGTCGGTTTGAATCCCAGAGCGTTGGAACTGAAGAAGATCCGAATTGCCACGGAAACTTCGCCGCGATTGCATTGTATCCAACGGCCGAGTTACTACCAGCGTCTCGTCGGGACCCCAAGTTAGGCGAGTGGCGTTATGATATGCCTTTTCTTCACTGTTGACGGGGAAATTCTTGTCTTGACGTTCGTAGGGCCACTAATTTGAAAGAAAGTAAAATTTTAGTATTCGATTTATTTCCAAAGCTGTTAAATACATGAGTATCGAGAATCGCCAAATTTTTTCATTCTGACGTGAGCTCAACCCGAAAATTTCAACTGTGGACTAGGGCACCAACCTGAGGAAAGCCTTTGGCTGGCACAGAAGCGCGAAGGTTTTGCCGCACTGGCTTGGGCTTCTCGAATAGAGAATTCATCAAGTCGATGCTTGTCGCGAATCCACGTCCCTTATCCGCTGCCATTTGCGTGCTTGCGAGACCACTTGTTCTCTCTGTTTTCGACATGCTCTTCCCCCAAATAGACGATTTGCGCAAGTCTTGTTCAACGTTGTCGTCTCCACCATCCATCCCTAAGGCAAACTTCAAGGGGGAATCATTCATTTCCCTCAGCAATTGACGGTCTCGCTTCACAGGACTGACTGTTTTCCTGAGCATTTCCATCCAATCATCGCCATCAGCGACTTCGAGAGTCACCGGGCCAACTTGATCCTTCATGGCTCTCATGCGAGCCCTAAGAATGCCACCAGGAGTACTCCTCTTGGCATCCTGTTCATTCTCTGACGAGGTATCGTCGAGCTCCGCGGCAAGATGCTGTCCAATGAAAGACCTCGTCATATCTTCATCCTCGGACAGATCATATTCGTCGCCCCTTTCACTGGCGTAATCCTCCTCCAGTGAAAGCCGAACATCATTGGGCGCCGAATCCGCGGAGCTAATCCCTAAAAAAGACTGCTTGTCGATGTTTTCACGTTCATACAAATCATTTTGTTCATCGAATGCTCCTGGCAAGGCCGCGTTCTGGCGGAAGCGCGGCCGGCCGTCTTCACGGTTTGAGACATCCATGGCAGCGGCGTCGTTGGAGACGCGCTGAGGTGGTGTGGCTAGACCAGGTGGAGGAACCATTTCCTCGTCTGATTCTTCATCAGAGTCGTCCAGACCATACGTGGTGAAATGCTCGACGCCAAAGGTCCAGACGCCTGTTTCCTTATCATAGCTCTCGAAAGTAGTATCTGGGATTCTCTTCAGTCTCTCGATGTGCTTGTTGAATCGCTTGGGATCGCTAGTGATTCTCTTGTCACGGCCACCGCGAGGCCAAGACTGTTCTAGGGAAATCTGGGCGGGAACGTTAAGACCCTTGCCAACAGGAGGCTTTTTAGCTTGGACTGGATAAACGGTAGCCGATCGAGGCTCCAATTGAATGATACCACCGCACAGGTCCTTCAGCTCGATGTTGCTGATATCAACCGGAACCTTGAATTTGATATAGCCAACGTTGTCACGGCCAACCGTAAAGTTATCCACACGCTGGCGCTGCATTCTGTTCATGTTTTGCAGCTCATCTCGAGTTGGCTGCATCCAGTAATCGCCAGGCGCATTCTCAAACCCGAGTGGTGCGCGTGCTTCTGGGGTGGCAGAATTGTCCTCCTCGTGCACGATAGCAAGTTCGTTGCCCTTGACCTGTTCCATTTCTGGGGTCTGTGAACCGTTCGTACCGTTAGTAGTTCTGTTCTGACGGGGAGTAGCCTCGTCAGGCTGAGACTTAGGGGTGTCCTCAGGAGCAGGAAGAGCGTTCCGGACAGGCGTTCCGTCTTCCGACTCAACATTACTAGTATCGAAGCTCACGCGCTTAGACAGCTTGCGAGCACTTCCATTGACTTCAGTCTTATCCTTCTGGGGGGTAGAAAACAGATCACTTCGAATATCCCGATTGATAACAAGCTTCTTGGAGCCCGTGCTGCCATACCAACGAGCACTGGAGCTGGAGGAAAAGGCACCCGGGGCAAGGATGCTGTCTTCGGTATTGAAGTTACGACGGAGGTTGCTCGCAGAGATACTCTTGCTTAGAGAGCCACTAGAGCTCGCACCGAGAAGGCTACGGCCCATGGCACCGGGCGTGCTGGAAATGCTGCTAGCAGGGCTGCCACCAGGCGTGCCATAAGAGCTGTATGAGAACCCGAATCCTCTCTTCTGGGGTGTTGCAAAGCGCGAGGCAGCGGTAGCTGGGGCCAGCTTGTACATTGGGAGAATGGAACTCTTTCGTGGCTTCGAGTTGCCATTCAGAGGCGTAGCGAGAGGTCCAGGGTTGGCAACGTCATTTCCGCCAAGTCCAGCAAACAAAGACGGGCTTCCGTATGCCGAAACATCGCTTAGGTTAGCAGTCAGGCTTTGGGGAGCATTGTTGCTCTGTTGTGTGTTGCCCAGGAGGGAATTGCCCAGAGCATTTTGGTTTTGTTGCTGGTTGGCGCTTCCACCGAACAGGGAGCTGCCCTGTGCTTGGTTATTCTGGGCACCAAAGAGACCTCCCGTCTGGGCAGAGCCACCAAAAAGACCACCAGGCTTTTGCTGATTAGTACTGGCTCCAAATAGGCCACCGCCCGTAGACTGCTGTTGTTGATTGCCGCCACCAAAGAGCGATGATCCGCCTGTCGTCGTCTGGGCAGTGTTGCTTGCCCCAAAAAGACCGCCGCCAGTAGCTGGTTTGTTGCCGCCGCCGAACAAGCCTCCTCCAGACGTTGCATTATTGGCGGCTCCGAAGAGGCCACCGCTGGTATTCTGCTGTGGCTGTTGTGTATTGCCGCCTCCGAAGAGGCCACCGGTTGTTCCAGTCGCTGTGCTGTTCCCAAAGAGGCCACCGGTAGCGGGCTTTTGCTGATTGCCAAACAGACCACCACCCTGTTGATTCTGGTTTTGCTGACCGAATCCACCACCAAAGCCTGTTCCCGCATTTTGTTGCTGGTTGTTCTGGCCACCAAAAAGGCCTCCTCCGGTCGCCTGCGTGTTGCCAGCATTGTTCCCGAATAGCCCTCCTCCAGTATTGGCTGTGTTAGATCCGAAAGCAGTTCCGGCTGTGTTTGCCCCAAATGTAGATCCCGTATTCGTATTCGCGGCGTTGGTGTTTCCGAAACTGAATCCGGTTCCCGTAGTCTTATTAGCAGTGTTGCCGAAGAGTCCACCACCAGCGTTGTTGGTGGTGTTGGCTTGTCCGAAAGCTCCAGTGGTGTTCGAGCTACCAAATGCTCCTGTTCCGCCACCACCAAACAAACCTCCTCCCCCAGCCTGCTGAGTCTGGGTGTTGGTATTGCCAAATAGACCGCCAGCAGGCTTGTTCCCGCCACCAAAGAGGCCACCAGTAGCAGTGTTAGTAGCGTTGGCATTTGCGCCAAAACCGCCGCTTCCAAATCCGGTGCCTGTCGTGGTAGTGTTGCCAGCATTGTTTCCAAAGAGACCACCAGTGTTTGTATTGGTGTTAGTCTGGCCAAAGGCGTTGGTGGTCTGATTGGCATTTGCGTTGGAGCCGAAACCCCCAAAGCCTGAGCTAACGCCAAAAGCACCGCCCCCTGTGGCATTCCCATGTCGGCGTCCCTGTGCGTAGTCCACTAATCGAAGCTCTTCTGATGACCACTTCTTATAAGGTTCCTGGAATAGAATGTTTTGGAAGGAATTAGTCGTGGACGTATTAGGCTCCTTCTCGGTATATGCGTTGAACGGTGTTGTTGCGGTGCCTGGCGGGTCGCCTACAGAACCAGTCGCGAAACCAGTGCTCGTGGTGCCGAAGCCACCTGAGGTCGTATTACCGCCGCCAAACAGGGAATTTCCAGTGTTGGTCGTTGTACCAAAGCCAGACTTGTTCGCGCCAAACATTCCGCCAGATGTACCTCCGCCACCACCAAATGTCGAGCTGGTTGAGTTAACAGCGGTGTTGCCTCCAAAGCCGCCGAAGGCGGACGTTGTATTGGTATTACTCGTGTTGCCACCGAAAAGACCGCCCGAAGTGCTGGTGCCAAATGCAGGTTTGCTTCCAAAGCCGCCACCAGTATTGGCTCCGAAACCACCTACAAAATCCGTCAGTGAATCGTTCGAAAGTGAAATTTGAGTGGACCAGCCAGATCCAAATTCCCATCCCAAGTGGCAGATAGTACATGTGTAAACGTATTCGCCGTCACGACTTACCAGTCGAAGCACCGAATCCGCCGCCAGTATTGCCTGTGTTTCCTCCAAACAGGCCTCCTCCAGTAGTGTTGTTTTGTGCAAACCCGCCAGAAGTGGCTTGTCCAAAAGCTACAGAGCCGTGTCAGTCATCAAAATCGCATCCAGTGTGCCAGGAGTCGTCAGCCTATGCAAGAAAACACTTACCTGATGGAGCATTATTGTTGGACACAAATCCACCGAAACCAGACTGGGCATTATTATTGTTCTGGCCGAAGCCGCTGAAGCCTCCGCTACCGAACGACATGATTACCCCGTATCTATCGGCAGCAGAGCCGCGGGTTTCAGGAGTCGATTCGATAGTTGGGCCTCAAGAGCTCCAATCGCCCGTCTGAGGCGCGATTTGAACTGCAGGCTCTCGGCGTGGAAAGAATCCGATGTTGGTCGCGGTCGTCGAGTAAAAATCACCAATGCAAAATTGGTGTCGGCCTTGATTCCACCACGACGACGTTGATGAAAGTCGAGTCCGACTCGATTGCGTTGTCGCGAAGTTCTGGTCTGGGAGGCGAGGCGCGAAATTAAGCATTCCAAGTCTGCATCTGTGGCCAGGCGGTTCCCAAGAAGTACCTGCCTGCTTCGACCCACTTATTCCTTAGTTTATCAGGCTCTGGCGAATCACCTTCTAGTGAACATCAAAGATTCAATCCCAGCAAAGCCAGGCTGCTAACAGTGGGGCGAGACGCTGTTGCCTGTCGTTCTGTACAACTACGATGAACCATGATTTTTAACTCGTACTTCAATGTTAGTACCACCCTACCTCCAGTCAGTCCTGGACATGATTGGAATTAGAACCAACATTTGAAGCTTCGGTGAAAAAGCCACATGCCCAAGCATTCTTTCCAAGAGTCCCGTATCCCCAGCTGTATCACCTCGTCCGCGGCTCTCTCAATGCCATCTGTGTATTAAATCAATGACGCAAAACGTAGACAAAGCGCAGCTTTGCCTAATTATAGTCCATTGCGTCCATCTCTTCATAAGCAGCAGAGACACGACGGCTGACTACGTCAGGGACCACGCAAGGGGTTCAAAATGAAGGCACAGGAGCTCGTCATGCAATTTGGCGAGTGTGTATTGCAGGAGAGCTAGTAAAAGAGAAAAGATTGATCACGATGCGAAAGGAAAAGAGCTAGCTAGAAGGGCGTAGCAACAATGATATGGTGCCTCACACATGGGCCCTAACAGACTAGTCCGCAAGTCTTTGGCTTGTCACCAACAAGTTGGAGATACAGTGGCAGAATATATATGCCCATCAAAGAGTATACCAAGTTGTGTCACCCTCGAGGCAAATGATAATACAAGCATGATACAAGTATCGTGCAAACGTAATATCTGAGAACACAGTATTAGGCTGCACCAAGCCAAAAAAAAAACAATACGAGACCAAAGAATACACCGGCTGCGCATCGTGGCGCGTCAGACACGCTAACACAATTGGTAATTTACTGAAGCGCGCAGCACCAAAAATGTCGCTAAACCAGCAGCCGAGGGAGCCAATAAGGCAACATAAAAGCTGCCAAATAACCCAATATTGCTAGTTTTACCTCATGCCGGAGGGCCATCAAAAAGTATACAATAATATAATGTAGTATTATGATGGTATGGAGCGCGATAGCCAGGTACCTGATCTGGTCAAATAGTCTATGCCTTCCACTCTGTGCCATACCCATGTGACTTTTTTTCGATAATATCTGCGGAAACTTGTATGATAGAACAGAGGGTTTTGTGGGATCTCGCAGCATTTTCATAAACGTTACTGCCGAGCCCAGAAACGGAGACAGGCCTGCCAGAGGTGTATATGTATATTTTCCTCGCAGCGGAGCGTCGACTCGGGGTAGTATTTCGCAGTATCTGTACCGTGTGATATGGTTCTTGGCATTATGTTGAGGGAGTTATGTGGAAAAGACGAGTAGAAAATGATTGAATGTATTGTTCATAGTATCGACATCTTCCCGTAGTTCGCTTGGTTGCTTTTGGCCTAAACGGGAAGTCAAACTCTTAGAGTCAATTCATAGTCAGCAAGTATAATAGAATATACTAACCGATATCGAAGTAGCTTCAAAATCCTGACACAGCCTGGCACGAGCCTATTGAATGATTCAGTCTTCCTCCATGGAAGGGCCTGCAAGCCCAGAGCATGTCAACCTCAAATTTACAGATAATAACAAGGAGACTGTTGAGGATCATACAGCCACGGGCATGGAACCACACAAGCATTGCTAGCAGGCGCAGTTCATAGCTTAGAGAACTCTCTTGCCATTCAACTTGTCTGTTATACCTCGAGCGCGCGGTTCCGCGCGAAAAGCCTGTGCAGGGGGCATTTTGTATCGAACCTTCAATTCGCCATTGACATCTATAAAAGCCCTCAGATCTACCGCTGGTAGATTGAATACCAAGCACAAAACCGCTCTTCGTAATAGATGAGCTAGCTACATCCTCTTCAAGGCTATTTTCTCTGCGTCCCACCACCTCTGATACTCCATATAGGGAGCTTTCATGCTGACCAGACCAGAACATATCCTCCCTATTTATTGTATTTTCTTCAGCTTCAGAAGCCTTCGCATGTAGTCGCTGCGCCGAGTGTTTCTCAGAAACACTGCTTGGGAGAAACCATCTATATTTATTTGAGTTGGGTAGCAATGAGGACTACAAACTTCCTTCCCCTAGAAGGTGATTCGCTGAATCGCGACAAAGCAGGAAATTAGTGGGTCATCGGCGCGCATAGCGATTTTGGGTAGCACGAATACCCAATACTCTCTCTCCTCTTGGCTGCGAGTCGCGCGTGGTTTCGACCAGGCGCGTCGCAAAAGCTTCCTTTCCCTCCTCGGCGTAATCAGCAAACATCACCAGCCCTTCCACATCAGGCCCGCAACGAAAATAATAATAACAACAACATACACAGCCGCCCTCTTTCGCTCACGTTCCTGAAACCTACAGGCAACTGGTTGGAAGCTAGTTGCTCACGCGCGACACTATTTCTAGCTGCTTCTCCAACCTCGACACTCGCGTTCCGCCAGTGCACTATCTTCAAGAACTCGACTCCTCAGTCCTACAACCATGAATCCTCACGCCACGCCGCGCCCCTTCCCGGGCCGCTCGATAGGACCTAGCTCCCTCCAGCATCAATTCCAGCAGAACCAACAGCCGCAGCCGCAGCAGCAGCAGCAGCAACGGCAACCCCTAGCTCCGCAAGTATCCGCCAACGAAGAATATGCCTCCATCGCCGACGAGGATCGCGAACACATTGACGAAGTCGTGAGTTTTGCGCCGCGAATGCAACTTTGACTGCCCTCCCCGTCATGCCTTTACTAACAAGCCATGGGCCGCCAGTTCGATCTAATGGACATGAAGAAAAAGGGCTGGCTAAACTCGTACGAATTCAAACACTCCCTGGCCGCCCTTGGCTTCGACCTAAGCAAGCCCGAATACTTCCGCGAGCTTCAGTCCTACGGCTCCGTCCCCCCAGACTGGCATGACCAGCAATCCTGCCCCGTCAACAGATACTACGTATACCTCGACCAATTCCGGTTATGTGCCGCCAAGCTTATTGCCAATCGAGACCCACGCGAGGAGGCAGCCAAGGTGTTTGCCATGTTCGACTACGACCAGGATGGGTTCATATCAGTAGAGGACTTGCGGCACCTAGCACAGGAGATCAAAGACGAGCGTACCTTGTCGGATGAGGAGATTCAAAGCATGATTGATCACCTGGATCACGATGGCAAGGGAGGCGTCAGCCTGGATGAGTTCATGCAGATGATGGAGGAGGCCGGGTAGACGAAGAGGCAGCCGAGATTGCAAACAGTCTAGTCAGGTCACGCGCGGCCTTGCAAGCCAGCAGACTGTCTGGTTCAAGCTCATCGCGGTCGGAAACTGTTCATCGCCGAGCCCCAATGAGGAGGTCACGAGGTCGCTCAGAGAACGCCCACGGCTAACATCAACCGCACATGATTTGTGTGCTGCCGCAGCCCTTCAGCACAGAAATTCCCCTTGGGCTACAGGCTCTCGAATGATTCAAGCAGCCAAGATTACATACCTGTTCTTCACCTGAGCAGCATGACCATGTAGAGTCAAAAAGCAGCCGCCATGACAAGGCACCGTCCACCCATTTGGGTATCATCACAGGCGACAAGGCGTTGGGGTGTCAAAGGGAAGTTGTTCACGTCGTTAATCATTGGGCATTGGAAAAGTAGGGAATCACGTTTGCATCAGATCTAGGAGTTTTAATTGGAAAGAGCGCTCTCTAAATAACCCGTTACAAAATAAAAGTAATTTGGGACCACCCTACCACACCTGTGCAAAGCAAGTCTTGCCCAACTCCCCAACACATACAGCCCAGGTCTGACTTCCAAAATATCCTCCCTAGATGAAGATGAATCAATGGCAAAAACAACAGGTATGAGTTTGGGTTTTTGGCTCCAACACGATAAGTAAAGCATTCTTCATTGCCTTTGAGAAAAAGAGAAAAATTCGTGATTTGACAAAGGGGAAACGGTGGGTAATGTTGTAGATGTTTGGTGGTTTTACAGTGTACTGTCACAACAGCATCATCCACTCACTGTAATAACGATACCAACAAAAATAACAAGGGGCGGATCAAGGGCTCAGGAAGTAGATCAAATTAGAATTGAATAAGGTCTTGGCCCTGACCCTGTTGCTGCTGCGGCCCAGCACCAAAGGGGTTGTTGCTGCCCTGGCCGTTGGTAGGCTGGCTGCCGTATGTGACGCTTGGCATACCAGTGAACTGTTGACGCATATATGGATTGCCCGTAGCATTGGCACCAAGTCGCTGAACGCCGGAACCTGCACTGTTGGCAAACATGCCTGGGGCCGTGTGCTGAGCAGGAATGCGAAGCTCTCCAGTGTTGCCATAAGTATCCATGCCGTCTCCCGTTGCCAAGAGATTGTTTAGCTTGCTTTGGTAGTCGTTCATTTCCTTCTGCGGGGGAGGGTTGAGGGTGTGCTGCGGTTGTTGCTGGGGCTGCTGGTGCTGCATCATCGGCTGGTTGTTGAAGGTTGACAAAGTCTTTTGCTCTGGCAAAGCTCCCAGAGTGGAAATAGGGTTCGAGGTTAGCGGGCGGTTGTTCTGAGCGAAAGGGTTGTTTGAGCCTGTGGGGGTTGGCATCAGGGATGGCTGTTGTTGGGATTTGTTGGTGGCCCAGGGATTGTTGCTGCCTGGTTGCAGCGCAGACTCCGAAGACTGTTGAGAAAGCTGAGGCATTTGCTGGGCATATGGGTTGAAACCAGTCGCCTGCGGCTGGAAGCCAGTCATGTTGTTCTGCTGTTGACCATAGGGATACAAGCCCATACCAGTGGGTTGCATACCAAAGGCCTGGTTGTAGTTTGGCTGGAAACCGGTTGGTTGAGATTGCTGATATCCAGTATACGCATTGTTCATGAACCCAGTAGGTTGGTTCATTACAGCGTTTTGGTCGACAGGGTTGGCAAAGAAGTCTACCTGGTTGCCCTGCTGGTAACCCTGGTTGAACCCGGTGTACTGGGGTTGACTTGACGTGGATGGCTGAGGAGGATAGTCATCGAACAGAGAGTTGGCGTTGCTGTCTTCGAGTTCGCGGCGCCTTCTTTCTTCTTCCTCTTGGCTGAGTTTGATAGCTTTGGCCAGATCATTGTCGTCGTCATCATTCCTCCTACTCTCGCGCTTTTTCCTGTCTTCTTCTTCTTGAACCTTGCTAGCCTCTATTGCTAGTCTGTATTCTGCGTCATTTTCATCGTTGGCCAAAGCTCGCCTATCGCGAGGTCGGCGGGACGCTGACGGCTCGGCATGCTGTGGTTCATACTCCTCCACCCCCGTTACGCGAGACTTCCAGTTTCTTCTATTGCTTCGCTCGTCCCTCAGTCGCGCATCGTCCGCAAGTAGGGAGGACAAGTCCTTGGCGGCCACTCGTACTATTGAACCTGCGTCAGTATACCAGCCGCCATTGTAGCTGTCGAAGAGTCATCCTACCATTCTGGCCGACATCTCGACCCTCTTCATCAATGTATTGAAACTCTCTCAAGGTCCTGACAAGATAATCGTTCTGGCGTGCCCAAGTAACAACCAGCTCCGAGCCCTCATGAAGACAGTAATCGAGAACCTTGAGTGCTTTAAGCACGTGTCTCCAGTTCTTGCCCCTGTCGTTCAGACGCCTGTCAAGCATGTCCATGATGTCGTAAAACTCGGTCGACCTGTAGACGGCAAGAAGGTCAATCATGGTTTCGTTGGGTACAAAGTCAACAAAGCTTACGTATTAAACGTCAACTGAGCAATTTCGCTCATCTGAGTACCGGTTGGACCCCATGGATCGTTGCTCGTGGCTGTTAAGGATCGAAGACACTCCATTTAGAAAATAGCGCTAATAATATCACAGGCCGTTCTAGGGAGTCGCTCACCTTCTCTGACCTTGACCTGGGTACTGGAATACCCCTTGGTCACATTCTTGACACTTCGCATAACCTTGGACATGATGGGCGATTGCGGGGCTTGAATGCCTCCGTAGACTTGGCCGTGCTTGTAGGAAAGACGAAAAAAAAAAGGTCGACGGTTCGGAACAGGTCGCGGCTTTGAGTCTGTCCAAATTCACCCCTCACAGTTGTCTTCGATGCTGAAAGACAAAGGGCGGAGACGGCGAGACCGGTTCACACCGTAGAGTCGAAGGCGAGCGAAGTTGGACCTACTGACCGAGGCGGCGCTGCGAAACAAAGGCGTATGAGCTTCGGGTTTGTCCCTCGTCGCAGAAACACAGAAGCACCTCTCACAACAAGCCCTCTAGTTGAAAGACTGGAAAGGCAACCTGTCTCGGATGGCCAAACGACGACGGTTGAAAGGCTCGTCACCAGGAGCCGAAGGGCGGTGGTCGCGGGGGTTGCTTGGTTGCCCCCGTCGCAAGTACAAGCTCGATGCAAGTGCACGTGGAGAGGGAGCTCAGGTGGCCGCGCGACGGACAGAACAAATGATGACGAACAGGCCAATGCCAGCAGGGGTGTTGTGCAAGCTGTGTTGAAGGATCCCAGTCGAGCGCAGAGAGCGGCGGTATGTACAAGGTGAGATTCTCTTATGCTAACGCGGCTTGTCGACAGCGAGACAAAGGAGGGAGTTGAATGGTTCGAGGTTTCAAGCGGCTTCCCGGCCTTGGGAGAGGCGAACCTCAGAGAGTGTCGCAGCACTCAGCCAGCGTTTAAGTGGCTTGTCCTGGCCAAGACTGGACGCTAGACTGTTGCGACTGGGGCCTGGCCGCCATACTCCATCCCTGTTCTCCGTACTTCGTCTGGTACGTGCTTGGGTACCGACGACAGGCCGGGTACTTTCGCCCGTTCGCTGCGGATTACGTACTCGTAGTTGCCGCTGTGTGTAACTACATAATGCTTCGACGTCATTATGGACGGTGCTTATCCTTGCGGGAAGCGGTTTCAATAGGGATGCTGTCAAATTACTGGTACCAGACTTTTTGTTTTCTTTGCACCGAGTCACAGAACTGCACTGCCCTAGCTGGCACGGCTTGCGATTGATCGTCACGACTGTCCGACAAACACCGCTTGACCACCTGCCAAGGATACCTGCCCAGGTAGGTCGTCTCGTTGGCAACTTGGGCGTGGCGCATGCGCATCACGGTTCACCAGATGTAATCTCACCGTCAATTGATTCTTGACACAGGTTCTAGGGCCCCAATGCCGCAAACTCATCCGCCGCTAGTTTACCAACATTAGCGCTGTGCATCCTGCAATGTCGACATGGAGTCTTCAATGCACTACGTCACAAGCGCAACGGCCAATCCACCCCAGCCACATCCACTTGACATCCCATATTTGCTTAGGTCAACTGGTAGTACTTAGAACTTGTTCTACGAGCGGCAAATCGACGCGTACATACATTCTTATGTACACGTAATAGCAGTCGACGGGTGTCTGACTCGCGATGGCGGCCCAACGCCGGGCATGCCGCTACCACCAAAAAAATCTTCAATAAAAATTAATGATAGGTGGCCTTGATTTACGCTCGACCGACTGAGGAAGTTGGAAGCTGCACGTCACCTATTCCTACGACGGTTTTTCTACATGTAGATGTACATACTCCGGAGAACACATAAAAACATTGTTCTCGGGTGGCGCGACCCGCTTAGAGGGATTGAACTCGACCTGACGCTTTTTTATCTCTTAGTAACACGGTGGGAGCACACACACTTCCAGACGGGTAAGGATCACACTCTACACCTCAAAACGAAAAAGGCAATTATGGCATCGCTATTATTACCGTGATTCTTGTCTATATGCAATATAGTTCTGCGTCTATCGTTTATTCAAACCTCAATGAGCGTTGAGCGTCTCCATCATCGCTGCATTGTATCTCCATTGGCCTCATGGTCTAGCTGGGGTATATGTTTATGACTGCCACTTGCGGAAAGTATCCATGACTGTAGTGAAAACGACGAGTAGAATGCCACCTCCGGGTCCGAGACGGAGAACCTGATTGTACGTGTCAGAACGTCATGTGCAAGTGACTCTACAAGGAAATGCGTCTTACCTTTGGCAGGAAACCCTTGTACAGGGCACCAGCGCCTTCTTCCCTGAACACAGTAATGACGGATGGCCAAGCCCAGTTGTACTTGGGAACCTGTCCAGGGACCTTCGGGGTGTTCTGAATTCGGCTCTTGACGACATCCATAGGCGTGTTCAGAATCGTGCCGACCGTACCACCAATGGAACCAGAGATCAAGTCGTTCGTCATCTGACCCTGTTTGGTGCTTGCCTTGGGCAGCATCTGTCGGACCTGGAAGATGCAA